AATGCTCATACGAGCACTTCCTACTTCCAACCTGATCACGTGGAACAACACAATGCAAAAGCGCGTTCTCCTCACTGCCTAGATGTGACTCTATTAGGCTATCTATCATATAAAATTAAAATTAAATCATCAAACAAAAAAAAAACAACACATAAATGTCCGAAACTTTCACCGGATGCCTCTCTAGAGTTTTTCTTCTCTGACTCACATCCATATAAATGTTATCAAGTTGGAAGTAAGAAGTGCTCCCTTAAGCACACATTGCAAAAGCCTTGTTCTGCTCACTGCCCAGGTATGACTCTATTAGGTTATTTATTACCTAAATCATTGCACCGATCCCCAAGTCTAAAGGTAAAGGTTAGGTTAGTTCACCGTATAAGGTTTAGCGAGCAGTCCTTCAGCTTGAAAGTTTACGGATTGCATCGAAGTTCCCTGGGGAAACCGACTACCCAGATAAAATATGTAATTTCTGAAAGATAAGGCACGTTTAATGGAATCCAATATCTCGTCTTACCCAGCGGACGACTTTCCTGAGAGACTATTAAATGTATTTCTTTGTTTTAAAGGGATGACGAAAGCCACCACTTATAATAAACTACTGAAGACAAATCTGAACCATGAAAATTTTGTAGTAACCGGAATTTAGCCTTTCTGCAATCCACCCTTTATAGACGCTGATCATTGGCTTTATGAATGATCAGAAAGGTGCTCCACTGGCTGATCCGCTGAATCATTCTGTCGAATGACTATGTGACTGAACTTCCTCCTCAGATTACTTCGGCTTTCACGAGCACACCTGAGCTGCCTATGGAACAACTGCGAATCTCTCCATTTCTTCAACTACTATTTACCCCAAAAAGCTTATATTATGCACTGGATCAGATTTCAAGTTGATTAGTAATCGAGCGATCATGAATGCTCCAATTATCAGGGAGAAAACATCTTAGTGACTACTATGTAGCGGTTTTTCTCGCAGAACCCACTCAATAGTCATTTCAGCGAGGGTCTTTCAGCCCACCGCATGCACTTTTTTCTATCCGAAGGTGAGAACGTGGCCAACATTGCATATGTACGAGTTGTGTGCGACATTGGAGGACAATGTCGACACAAAAGAGAGTTGGAGGAGCTCGTTCAAAGCTATTTGCGCCTTGTAATTCGATACTGAACGGCACAAATCTCTTGGCTAACCTCGCTCACCCTCACTCGTCTAGTCGGCAAGCGGTGTAAAGGCTAGTGTCGGCCACGATCGGCAGCAGCATTCGTTGCAACCAGCGGTAGCGGATTACACGATAATGAAACGCACTTAGATGATACCCGGTGGGTTGCACGAAAAATCGCTTTAACGAAGCGAAAAATCTGCAGAAACCATGTTACTGCGATGTTCTGACAACAGGCATGATTGCTCAGCCACTGGTGCTTTGAGACCAGCGCTGTACCTCGTTCAGAAGCGGATAATCTACGCACAAAAATGGCTTAATCACTTCTGGGGAATGGCCGGCCCACCTTCAGATGCAATTACTGACTGACAGTCCGAGAATGGATTCAATGTAAGTGAGCCGGGTGTCCACCACTTAACAGAAAAACATTCCAAGTAAAGGAAGTTATTTTGTGTAATTAGGCGTCTTTTGAGTGTCGTTATGTGCACAAGAATTGCACATATCGAATGAACACTTCTAGAAAGCATTGAAGGTTCGTCGACGGTTTGACAAAGAATCATGACCCCCATAAATCATTAACATTTCGAGCGGCAGCGCCTTTGAACACACATACCGGATGGAAACAACTGCAATAAAGGAAAGTTCAGTGCCTTTTTTCCCGGAATAAGATCTCTGGGAAACTTCATACTCTCTTACAAGGGGATTGAGTACACATACAGTTTATGACCTTTACAAAGTACAAAAGTACAATACCCTTCTGCCTCCTCCCACCCACTTCTCACTCCCTCTGTTCTCTTTCCTCTTGGTGAGATGGACAGATGGATGTGCCTCTCCCTTCTACATCCCTCTACCTCTCTAAAAGTATGGTATTCTTTAGGTAGTATATGAACTATGCCGTTTTTGCCGTGAGTTCTCGATAAATGCAATTTTTTCTGAAAGTGAAAATTTCCGGAAAATTCTTGCTTGAAATATACACTCATTATGTAGCAGCCGGCAAATTTTGCAAACATCAAAAAATAATATCAAATAATAAAAAATTATTCTTAGAAAATATTAAATCATTTGATAACTTTCAAAAAAAAATTAATTAATCCCCCTGTTGCATTCGGAGGAGTACGAAAGTTCTAAGAATAAGGCTGTTTCTCATTTACTCGTGCTGTCAGTAGGGTAATTGGAAAAGTAGGAAAAGAAGAGTCCGGGAGTTCGGCGTACGCATTTTACTATAGGGGCTTGAAAGAACGACTACACTTTCAAGAGATTAAAGGGCATGACAAAATCATCGTCTTTGCAACTAACAACTCTGACCTTTACGTCCAGAAAATAAAAAAGCTCAATAGCGAAGAAACGTTGAACCATGGTCAATCTCAGAAGAATTCCATCTAGTAAACTGCACTTATTGGATTAATTGAGCGGATTATAACAAAGAGGGGAAAGCGATGAAAGGCGATTCGGCCATAAAATAGCCTTAGCCATACGGCCAAAGCCTGCCAGATGCGTTTCATTTGCAAAAGTCAACAGAGGAAAAGAAAATGTAAAACGAAACGAAACAACAACATCGAATAAAAACAAAAAGAGAAAGGGAAAACAAGGTCAAGAGTCGAAGAAAACCGTCAACCCATATGAATCCTCAAATCAATAACAAAATTCAAACGAACATACATAGCCATCTGAAATGCTAAGTTAACGTACCTCATTCGTTCTCAGTGGTTGTACAAAAAGTACAAAAATAGTCGTTTGAAACACAGACATTAATATGGTCCCAGTAAGAATCAGATAGAACGGTAGTGTGAGCAAAGTGTAAATAGCGAATGTAGCCAGAATTCCCGGGAATAATGCATCATGACCGGGTTTGGAAGTGAGACAGTCGACGATCAGCAAGAAGGCCGTACCTGAAGCCAACTAGTAAAAAAACTGAGGGAGAACAGGTAGAAGAAGATGTAAAGCCTGAGGTATTAGCGAGTCCATACTCAAAAAGAGGGTTTCCCGCGGCGGTTAAGTATGCAAATAGAACATGCTGAATGCACTGATGTGCACGGTTCTGGTGGAAACTGAACTCTGTTCATGAAAAACGGTAATCGTATTCAAGTACATAGGCAGCAAGGAATATTAACGAGCATCAGTGCAAGTTATTTCACCGACATAGAAATATGTTCCCCTGGAAAAGTTCGAACACCTCAACAAGTCTGGGTGTGGCCCCTTTTCTCTCTCTATGACCGACTAATCACGAGAATGTGAATGATTTGGAAGCACCCTTTGATAATAGTAACATCCCATCAACTGCTGCAAAACAAGGCTGTAGCTTGATGGGAACGAGTTCCCGGGGAAGACTCAGACAATGCAGTTGCCTATCAAAGCACGTTTTACAGTCGTCGATAATAGCACGAATAAAAGTTGGTGTACGAAAATACTCAAAATACGTACACAACTGAGCCGATCGTATCCGTTGTGGTCGAAGCAGTATAAATATGTGGACGAAGAGTGTGCAAAGGGCCAGAATAGCACATTTGGCGGCCACAGGATCGGGAGCGTGAGCGAGCGCCCGGACGAAGGCACCGAATCCATGGACGCATAGCAGACGCCTGGTGGCGCCACGAGCCGCTGCGCTTCGCTGTGTCCAGCGTCCGAACGCCGCTTCCAGCCAGTCGGATGCGAAACCCATCCGACGACTAACCGCCGGCACCGGCACGCCCCCTCCGTCCGTCCGCCCGATGTTCTGCGCCTCTACTCTGTGCTGCCACTCTCGTAACCGTCTGGCAAGAGGTGTAAAAAGGCACGTGTCCACCACAAACAGTCAATCTTCATAAAGCTGAAATCCGCTGGACAATGAAGGGTATCGCCAAGTGAGAGGGTCCTACAGCGACCACAAAGGTCAAGAGAGGGGATGAGCTCGTTAATCACGCGGGACCCACAGAAGGGTTAGAGCTGCTTGTTGCACATGCTCTTCTACAACTGTTCCCTGGGGGATGAGAACATGCAAACAAAGGAAGTAAATGAGCACAACGAACGTTCTCTTGTCACCCGCCTGCAGCTACCCTAAACGAATGTTGTATAGGAAGTGATCTATAGAGAACTTCAAAAAAATCTGATTTTTCTGACAGCAATCCAGTTGTTTCCTTGAGTCCCACTTCAAGAAGTTCACAAAAAAGCAACTTTTCATTGCATACTGTATAGGAGTTTACGGTAGGACGTAGTATTAGGTATGAAGTGATGTCGTGATGAAGTGAACTTGTCATTTCTTTCTTCATTATTTTTCGAAGAACGAAGAAGCTACAACGAGGCCAATACGAATCACATCGTTCACGAGCAAAATTTATGGCCAGCTCGACGGCACGAATTTTCTTGTTTATCGACGGTTTTCGGCATCTTCCGTCCGTTCTCTTTTCTGTTGTTTATAACACAAAGAAATTGCTTTCGGGCGAAGCTATTTAGAAGGGTGCTCCAGACACCTAATGAGTATTCCGCTCATGTTGTTATGAAGAAAAAAGGATACTAATGTTGA